CAACGCAAAAATGCTATTTTGTGCAATTTCATGAGGTTTTTGAATAATAAAAAAAAGTTTTATCAGACAAATTAAACATTCATCCATAGAAAATGTAGAGAAAATAATTTCGGTTTTTTTGAGCTATAGAACTCCTAGAAATGTCAAAAACTGAAAGAGGAGATAGATTTTTTTCTGTAAAAAACTTTCAAAATGACCATTTTTGACATTTTTTTCTTCCGGAAAACGACCATACATGAATCTATAACCACTAATTAATTTTTTAAGAATCATTTGAATCATCTTGGAACTCCACAAAACCAGATAAAAAATTCTGAAATTATGGTTTTAGACCTGCAACAGTGATCGCGCCAAACTTTTTTCTGTAGATCAAAAATTAATTTGCAGTTTGGAATTGTTCTGTGGGAGAGCGTGTGTTTCGAAAAGTTTTCAAATTTTCGTTCAAAAAATCTAATATCAAGCCTGTGTAATTTACATAAAGACAGTCCGATATCCCACTCAAACTTACCAACAAAAACTATAGAAATTGGAGCTTTTGATGCAAAGATTGCTGCTTGAACCGTCTCCTTTAGGTCCTCAATACTTCCACGTGTAATGATGAACAGTACATAGTAGTTGGGCGGTTCGTTAGCCCTGTTGAAATTGTTCTGGGCTTGTCTGAAACATTTACTTGAATTGCATGGTGTGTATTTTCGTGTGAGAGTATGCACTGTACCATGTACAGCAATCAGAGGAAAATTCTAACTTTCGGAATTGAAACTTGCTTTTTCTAGCGTGAAAAAATACATTGCTAGCTCAAAAAACAATCTTTAAAGCTCGAAAACTTGACTTTCAGAAAAAGGTAACTCGGGGAATTTAAAAATCCAGCAAACATTTAAGTTGAGTATCGTTAAGGAAAGTTTAAGAAACCGTGAATTCGTTTAATAGAAAACTTTTCTTTTATGCTTAATTCTCGGTTCCTATAAGAGATATAAAAATAATTTTCAACAGAAAAAACGTTCATCATGTTATCCGTAACATTTTATCAGTTCACCAATTCTTGATATCTCTTACAGGAGCCGAGATAACGGAACTCAAAGTTTAAAGCTATTAATGTTTCAGAATAAAGTTTCTACTACAAGCTTATGTTTGAGGGAAGATTGAAACTCACTTCGCCAAATGATAAATAATCTGTGAAAACTTTGCTCCTTGCAACGGATGCACATTTTGATAACTCTTCCCAAACGCATTCAGAATTCCATTGACTCCTTGACACGTGGCATCCACATCCAACGACAAGCAAAAGTTATTAGAATCTCGATAATGTGGTGGAATCTTGGCACCGAATCCATAGGAAAGCCAAGAGTTGGTTGGGTTGAACGGTTCCAAAGTGTCTGCGAGGCATCTCACAACGAACTCGATGTCGTTGGAGTACTGTTGATAATCGTTATGAGTCACATTAGCCGGGTCTCGAATGGAGAAGTCGATTGCTATGGCGAACTTCAGTGAGGTGCCGCCGCGAAGATAGTCTAGGAAGGAGCAGACGCGAAGTTGTTGGTAACGGCAGATACGGACCTCGCCGATGGGTTTGCGACCTTGTTTGTAAGATTCGTTGAAGATCTGTAAGAAGGGTTGGAAGTTTTTCTGTTTCAGAGGGTTGTCAAATTTTATATTTTTCGGTTTTCTTGGTTTCCGAACAGTTTTCACATCTTGTACGTACTTTGAGCCCATATTTTAGTTCCTGTAAAAGATTCCGGTTTCTAGACTACCGGATCATGTAGCTGTAGCTAAGAGTCCTACAGTAACCCACCGAAATTGGCTCCATCGCTTTTGCCACTTCCATTGATACTACTGCCTGTCCAATAACGCCTTCCTTCTCCTCTTCACTGATACACACAATTTCGATTTGGCTGCTGAAATGAGGACTTTTTCGAACAACCTTTGTAGAAATTTTCAATTTTCACAGTTTCATGAAATTCAGAAAGTTGATTGCGGACCGAAGATGCTCCAATAAGAATGGCTTTTGTGAAAGATATCAAAAATTTGTGAACTGATATGTTTGTCATAATATCAGTATTATTTCATCAGCTGACAAATTTTTAATGCCACTCATCGAAATAAATATAGAAAAAGTCAATTTAAACATTGCATTTTCAAAGCGCTATTTTTTCAATTCAATCCAATTTTATAGTAATAGTTTTGCGAAGAACTTAAATTTTAAAAATTGGAAAACCACCTAAATGTTTCTACTTTGAGCTCAATTATCTCGGTTACTGCAATAGATATAAAAATTTGTCAACTGATAAAATATTGGCGATATTATGATAAAAGTTTTATCAGTTGACAAAATTTAATATCTTTTACAAGAATCGAGATAAATCGGGTTAAAGTTTTTGGAATTTTTCTTTCTTAAAGGTGGGGGGACATGAAAAAAAAATAATGTTCTCGATATTCCGTCTAAATATGCCCCTCGAGGAGTTGAACTTGTGAGGACGAGGATTGGGGGTGCGGCGCCGCTACCGACTGAGCTACGCGGGCAAAGAGAGAACGGCACCTCGATTGCATACATAAAGGCGAGGACGACAGATGTACGCAGAGTGACATTAAGCGTTGTACACCGTCACGGTAGAATGCATACTCTGGCCCCAAAAAACCCCGTAAAATCTCTTGTCCCCCCACCTTTAAAGAAAATTACTAGTTTCAAGAACTTGTTTTTTATTCAATTTTAAAAATTTTTTAATCGATCTGATCAAGTATTTTATGAATTTTCAAAACTAATATGTATTGCTTTACTAATGTCCCAAAACTCACTCAACCCCATCGGTCCAATACAAATCATCCGATTGAACCGTAAAAGATCTCCATAGCAATTTCGGTTGTTTCGTTGGTTCACTT